GTGTTTGAATGTAATAATGCTCGCCTTTTTCCCGAGAAATATACAGTGAAAGGCCATATTTCTAATACTAAACTTGAAAAAGGCGATCATTATTACATCCAAACACGGCACAAGGATCTTTTTTCCCATTACAATCTTATTCTAGGAAAACTTTAAGAAAAAATGCGCCGGAAAGCGCCCGAAAATACAAACGAAATGTGCTCATTCCCCCTGGGTATCCTATAATACTCCTTAAATCGAATTAATTCAATATGGCCGCCGTATCGGTAAAAAAGGTCTATTATACTAGGTTCATATTTGACACGCGTCCTGCATATTGTATGGCATAACTTCTAATTTAGTTACAGCTCAAATATTGGAACCATATCTTGAATAAATTCTAATTTGTCTTTTGTATTATTGAATTGTTCTCTACTCAGGTATGGGTAAAAAGCAATGGGCTCGTGGTTTGTTCCCATTCTTAAGTAAGTCATGAGCAATCGAAGGTGAAATGCTGAAAGTTCAGGAACACCCAACGACGGTTTCCTCCCAAAAACATTTAAAACACTTTTTAGGCTATCCAGAGTACTTTAAGAACGCTATAGAAATGCATTCTGAGAGACGCTATGAATCTACCTGGTCATTCTAAGGCAATCTGAGTCTTCTCGAAATTACAAGGACTTCAGGGTTCCAGTTTCCAGAAAACTTTAGATGCAGTTTAAGGATTTACTAAAGTGAAGTGGTTCCTCTCTTCATCACTTTTAAAATCCGAAAATTTTAGGTTTCCTAAGTTAACCTGGGGAGTTGAATGCGAAAAATTAATTTCAGAAAATCGTTGGGGATTTACTAGATAAGCTTCGAAAATTGTACGTTAATGGAACGGTCATCTAGAAATTTTTAGTCGTCTTCAAGCTATAGAAAAGTCCAGACAATTTTGGCTTTTCAAAACAGATATTTTACAGAAAACAGTCGTTTGGTGCTCTAAGACAAGACAAGACTAAAAGACAGAATTGACGACAACGTAGATTTACCAAAGCTAGTACCGTAGAAATTGTCTTTCTTTTATAGGGTCTAATAACAGTTGTAAAGATAGTGAATTAAAAATCAGTCTCAATTTTTTGTATATTTCAACTCGCACAGAAAGTTTTTGTTCATGTTTAAGTGACTCTACTTTTACAGACAACAGTTTTCGTGTACAGTCAACTACTCTCAAGACGGACACCAGTCAGTGGTGGGCCCAGAGGAGGGGCCCCTCCCGCTTACTTTTAGACCAAAACTGAGGCCCGAAGGTCCGAAAAAAAAAATTTTGTTGAGTCCGCGCTTCTCCCTTATCTCAGGGTCTGGATGACCGCCCCCCTCCCTTATCTGAAAGTCTGGATCCGCCACTGCACCTACATACAAACGGTATCAAAAATTACGTGTATTGTCTTTGATAACAGCTGCATTTGTGTTGATGACGTCTGCCTCAGTGTTATCATCAGATTATACAAACAGCCAGTCGGCGGGTGTTTTGGATGCAGCAGTGAATTCAAATGTGGCAAGCAGAAATACAGCCGCTGTACCTTCATCGTCTTCTCTGTTGATGTCATCCTCAAAAGATTTTCATTCAAGTACTTTGACCATAAGTAGTTCGCCATTTGAGGTACTGAGCGCTAGCATGGAAAACAAGCAAACTATAACCCCCTTAACGTTGGTCTCATCTGTGTTGGTGACGTCATCAGTTTTTGTGTCAACATCAGTTATTCCTTCAAGTGCTCTATCCAGAAGTGCTTCATCATCTGTCCCCACAATGAGTTCGAATCTGATGACAGAACAAGGTACATCCGCAGTGACCTCAGTGTCTTCCTTGCTTTTGTCATCATCAACTATTTCTGTAAGCAGCTTGCAACAAAGCCATTTGTCATCTTTTGTGGTGAGCACTACTCTGGCAATAGATAAAAGCACGCCTGAAACACCCTCACCGTCTTCTATGCTACTTGTATCTTCAACAGTGGTGTCGCAACAGTCAGGTACGTTATTTTCAGATGATCTCTTCGAGATACAACGAACATTACAGTCAAACCACCACGTGCGATATCTCTATTGTAAACGACATAGTCCTCTAAGCGACCATGTATGCAAACTACCAAAATTTTCTTAGTCAGAACCCTATAAATAGAAGCTCTCGAAAACGACTATCTCTTATAAACGACAGCGACCACCTTTTGGCTTCATGGTTTAATAGTTTTCCGTTGTTTTTGACCCCCTAAAAGCGACCACTTGACGCTCGACCACTCAATGTTCGCTGTATTTACCATGCCACTCAGAGTATATGAAGAAATTCCATTAACAACATGGAAAAACACATATAAGTAACTTAAATTTTGCATGCAATAGACTTTATTCACGTTGACCGCTATCTTTGCCCGCGCTTAAGGACTAATGGGATAAAAAGCGATGTCACGTGGTTTCTCGGGGGGGAAACAAGAGATAAATTTTTCCAATACAAGAAATCGCAGTGAAGTTTGTTTATTTTTGACGACAAGATGAATAACTTTTTATATTAAAGGCGATGACGGCAAATCATGGGTGGAAGTGATCATTGTTACTTTTTTTAATGCAGTAGCGAACGAAGATGTCCTCGTAGCAAGCAATAATGACATTAATTTTTTCGAAACTCAAACCGTACATTTTGCATGACTATTAAATCGTTGTTTCGTTTTGAGAGAATAAACAAAGCGGACCTCGATTTCTCGCAATGGCAAATTTTATCGTTTGTTTGCCCCGTGAAATACCACGTGATATTTGCTTTTATCCCATCAATCCTAAAGCGCGTGCAAAGATGGCGGGTATCGTGAATAAGTGCAAACATTAACCACAAAGGACTGCAAAGGACCGCAAACGAATATGCCGGAGAACGTAGGATCTATAAAGACCTGATCAGCAAAAATGAAAAGTACACTTATTAAATTCTGGAAGCAGAATACTGCAGTGCTGATCGTACTACGTGAAAATTAACTCTGCAAGACACCAACACGACACCGAAAGGATTCAAAACAGAGCGGGATTGTAGCCATAGACAGCTGTTTCACCCTATTTGGGGCTCGTCAGTATGGCGTAACAACCAGAAAAAGCTCTGGTGAAAAATATCCGCGCACTCTGATTTAAGCTCTGACCGAGAGCTCTCAACACCCACAGTATCACGCCATACCACGTGTCTTCTGGGGGGCAAGAGTCCAAGTGTCAAGTTGATGTCTCGCAGAGAAAATAAAGAGTTGGCTGATAAGGCTGATTTTTTTTCTGGTGTTATTTCTTCAGGCAACCGAGCCAGATTTTACGTCGTCTGAATCTGAAAGAATAGAATGCTTAACAGCAATGAGGGATCTCAATGCATTTGAGCTTTTGAAGGAGAAAATTTCTGGGGACGAGGTTTAGATGCAAACTTCGTTGGCACCGGACAAATCGAGGACAAATTTTCGACCGGTTGAATATTCGTGCGTTTAGGATATCTGTTAACAGAACAGTTCAAAATTTTGAACGTCGAAACCGAGGTCAGTTTTTAGCCGGACTATGCCCAAAATTTGAGCAGCGCGATCTGAACACCATAACCGTCTAAATTTTTGTACAGAGGAATTTGACCATCCCTGTGTGAACACCATAAGCGTCTAAATTTTTGTTGGGCAAGCGTGTGGTGGAAAGATTCAAGCTGCTTCGTCAGTTCCATGTGAACAGAGCAGAAATACTGAACGGTCCTGTGTGAACAAAGTGTCAGGTCAAATTGGTTATCACCTCAAATAGGGTCACCAAATAACGTAAACTACTTCATGGCTTCTTAAAGACACCTTTTTTCAAATATATGCGTTTAAAAGTTAGCTGATGGTGAGGTTTTCTGTTCGCAGCTTGTATTTCCGGCGAAAATCTTAATGGTTTCAGTGGATTCTTTTCAAGTCCAAATTTTCCAAATAACTTCCCTCAGTACAGCAGATGTGTCTGGAAGATCACAGTTCCCAGCGGGTACTTTATAAAACTCAGCTTCCTCAGCTTTCAACTGGGACTAACTCGGTACAGTCAATGTTATTCCTGGAATGCTCCCGAAGCCAATGTTACAGTCACAAACGTTGCTTCAGATGATTGGTATCAGCCGTTCATTCTGTGCGGTCGGCATCTTCCTGATCCAGTGTACTCAGTGGGGAATTCAATACAAGTTATATTCACGTCTCTGATCAGTCAATATCCAGGGTTTAATGCAACTTACACGGCTATCACTTATAATTCAGGTACGTGGTATACATTATTTATAAGACATCAATGGTCGAGATAAGATTTAAAAAAACATTACCAACAACAACTCGCTCCATATAAGGTAATTCGAGAAGGTCATGGATTCTGGATTTTACGCCGTGAATTCTGGATTCCAGGTACTGGATTCCGGTTGTCAGTGGCACTTAGATTCCGGATTCCAATCATAAGTAGGATTCCGGATTCCTCGAGTAAAATCCCATGTTCCAAATCCCAGGATTCCGCATTCCACAACCAAATTGTTTTACAATTCCGGTATCCGAATTACCTTACATGGGGGGAAACGACAGTCATAAACAAACAAGAAATACGGGATAGCATAAACTCATTCTGGAAAAAAAGTATTGTAGTACTATTCGTAATCGATGGCTGGAAGCAGGATGTTTTATCACCGATTTGTTAGTACTAAGCAGTATTACATGTAATTGTGTATTCTGTATTTTATTCAGTTGAGTGGCAAGAACGACAACAATATCTATCATAGTATTTCATTGATACGACAGTAAAGAAGTGCTCTTGAAAATATTGATGGATGAGGGGGGAAGGGGAAGATCTGCTTTACCAAGATATAAGACGTTAAAAAGAAAAAAGAAATGTTTGGAATATTTTATATATCTGACTGGATTTGCAAAAACATGGCAAGAAATCTCACTCATATTATACCTTCTGACAGAGTCTTAACTTTCATAGTTACTTTTAATTTATTTAATTTGTACCGAATATTTACTGAATACGCTGCAGTAGATAGACTGACGAGTTTCACACTGGCCATTAACCTACCTGAGACGGAAAGATTGGATATTGCGAGCTTTGTTGTCGGCAGTAACAAGTCTTTGGCCTCACACGTAGGTTATGGCGGGGAAATCGGCGAGATGGAATTGAAATTTGATTTGATTTCTGACCAACGAGAGTTTTACGGAGTAATTTGACGATGTTTCGCCCGCGTTAAGTGTGGAAGTATTATGAGTGGTTTTCGGAAGTGTTGGGATTGCCGCTAAAGTCATTCATTGTGTGATTTACCGAGAGTGTTGATAGACGAACCTCAGGTATGTGGCTGAGCTGAGTTCGTGTTACCAGTAAACTTTGTGCCAAGCATAAAAACGCTTCATGAGAGTTTAGTGTAGGTGACTTTGTCTTAGAAAACCTATTCTGTGCTCAAAGATTGTGGATTTTCAATCTAGTGTTTTCGGCAAAGACTTACATGTAGCTATGGGGCATCGTACTTTTCACTGTTTTCCATTCCACTAAGATGTCAAATTTTCCAAATGCAGTTGAAATTTCTTTAGCCACGTTTTAGCAAATTCAGTTAGATACACATACTACAAGAGATATGTGTAATATTCTTTTACAGTCTGTCCAAATATGACAACCTTGAATGAGATTTCAGGAACCATCACCAGTCCTTTCTACCCCAGACGCGGTTATTTGGATAACCAGAGCTGCAGCTGGGAAATCAGGGCCAGAAAAGGAAAACGAATCTTATTTACTATTGAAAACATGGATATTTATTGGCCCTACGGTGGAGGATTGTCTTGCTTGTGTAGTTATTTGGAAGTTCAAGGTGGATCTATTTCAGGCTATGATGGTCCCAAATGGCGTCTATGTTCCTTTCTTTTAACAGCCAACGCAACGTATGATTGGCTTAAAGAAAGAATTAAAGTACTATTTGTCTCCGACAGTAGTAGAGGAGGGAACCGTAGATTTAAAATATCATATACTCAAGTAAACTTCAGTTTATCCGGTAAGTAAAATATTGCTTATTTCCTGTTGTAAAAGAAACGATGACAAAACCTTAACGCCTAGCTAGGGATACATCTGACACTTAGGACTGAGATACCGACAAATTTTCTTTTTTGTTTTTGCTTTTGTTCGTTTGTTTGCTTTTAACATTTGGGCAATTATCTTATCACCTAGGCGGAGCAAACACTCTATTTTCTCTGTGCTATATTGTTTTGGTCGATGACTAGTGAACGTAGACCGCCATGGTTGCCTAAAGAACTGAGTGTCATGCGTTTCTGGAGGAGAACGGGGAAGAGCAGCGAAGGGGGAAAGTGCCTCGTTCCTTAAAATCTCCTCTCTCCAATATTTTTATGAAATGTCTATTACTAAGGATACATCACTGTGTTACTTGTAATCCTCCATTAGGATGTTCCAATTACACAACCCTCAACGAGTCCAACAGAGCAATCACATATAACAGAAGTATTTCTTACCCATGCGATGCAAATCTTAATGGATGGTTCAGATTCACTGGAGAGGCTGGAACGCAAATGGCTGACTCTTGTGTCAACATGTATCATTGCGGGACCGAGTCGCCTGGATGGCTAAACGGAACTCATCCCGACTTAAATGATGGGGCCGTTAAACGCCAAGTGTGTTTTAGCTCGTTTGACAACTGTTGCCATCATTCAAATGAAATAACTGTACAACATTGTGGAGCATTTTACGTTTACAAACTTGAACGACAATCCCATTGCAATCTGCGTTACTGTGGAAACGGATCGCCATATGCACAAGGTATTAGCACGAAACAAAAAACAACAACAACAATCGTATTTTGTCATTGCTTGTCAGGCGTATTTTCATGCGTTTTTCCATATGATGAATTTTCAAAATTCATGCCTTGTTTTCCGATGAAATTGCATTTTCCAGCAAAATAAGAATTATTTTTCGAACACTAAGCAGTTTTTAAGAAAATGATATAGAAACAACTATGGCCCATATAGTAGTATACTAACCGATACTGAACAAGTAGACAAGAATTGCTAACAGATTGTACTACACGGAGTTGTCTTTTCTTTCATAGAATGTTACAATTACAAAGTTCTTAACGAGGCCAGCAGATCCAAAACATGTGATGGATCTTATCATCAATGTGATAGTATGCTGTCGATCGACTGGTACAGATTTAGTGGAGCAGCTGGAAATCAAATAGCAGAGTCTTGTGTTGATATGTTTCGTTGTGGTACATCTAGTCCAGGCTGGCTCAATGGAAGTCACCCCACAGTAAACGAGGGAGCTGTCCAAAGAAGAGCGTGTTTTAGGTATGACAGCGACTGTTGCTTTTCTTCGATTTACATCAGAGTCCGTAACTGTGGAGGCTTCTACGTTTACCAACTAAAGCCGTTAACTTACTGTTACTCACGTTACTGTGGCAACGGATGTGGATCATCGACACCAACGACACTAGGTACACTTTTCCTTCTTTTTTTGTTTTGTTTTGTTTTGTTTTTTTTTTCATCCTGCGAAGAACGCTTTAGGCATTTATCGGGGCGTAAGAAGCTAGGGCGTTAAAACGAGTGGGGCGAGCGATCTAGCTGTGATGCAAGGGCCTGGGTACTACCAAAGAGACAAAACAAGATGGCGGACATTATACTGGACCGTCAGAGACATTATCTTGCGAACGTTAGCCATTATCGCGTGGCATTCATTTACTGCGAGCAATAGCGAAGTCGCAAATTATTTTTTTCTCACGCTCGTTTTCTGTTTTGTTCAATTTTTCCCCCGCGAACAAATATCTGTATTGAATATAGTTCCACCTCCGTGACCTGTAATAAAATTTCGTGACTTGGTAAGAAAATGGCATCACAACTCAGATGATAGCACTGGCACCATTTTTAGACTAATATTATCGGTTCTCTACTTCAGTTTGATATCAAGTTGTGTAATTCATCATCTGCTATGGCATTTATTTTTTGCTGCCCAGTTTCAAGGCCAGATGATCTGTTTTCACCATTAAAGTTTGGATTTGTTGGTGTACAGCAGTATTCTAGCAGTATTCAGTATTCTAAACATTGAGCTATCTCCAATATTGAGCATTACAGTTGGACAGATTGTGAAAACTAAAGTCCGGGTAAATTTAAAAGATAATAAAATCATCATTATTTTTTATCTTGTACACCAATACTACTTTGCAGTGAAGAATAAGTATGTGAAAAAAAACATAATTCACTGCCCTTGAAAAACTAACAAAGAGATCGGAAGAACACAAATAAGTAGCCCGGCAAATATTTTTGTTTGATAATACTGTAACAGCTTTTTGTAATGAAATGATCACTGAAAACTACCCTTGCAAGACATACTAAGGACCTTAATTAAAGAAACTAAACATTCACAAGTCTTACTTTGAAACCAGACATTGCTATATATATCTAGCCGAATTTTTGAAAACATACCTCAAAATGGACCAGAATATTCGCACAGGAAGCTGGCGATAGCCAGCTTTCTGGTCACTGCGGTCAGAAAAAACATAGGGGGCTTGCTGTCCTGGTGGGTCTCATTGACAAGTTCAGTCCCTGAGCTAACTCGCCATGGGTTGGAAAGGGGCCTCCATGTCAATCCCTAGGGGGGTAGGGTGCTGCAAGAGCGTTGTACCTTCCGTTAGTCCTGGTCTGGGAGAGTCAGTGCACTGGTCATGTCTGCCTTTAGTTTGTCATGTCAAATTCTTGTAACGTTTGAGGCCCATTGGCCAATGAAAGCATTCCCCTCAAGCACGTGCTAGGCTGGCGGGGTGGAGAAAGTCAGGGGGGGTGATTTAACCTTGAATTTCTCTGCTTAGAACTTGCTTAAGTCTCAAGCGTCCTCCGTCATTCAGGGCCTTTAAGCAGCTAGAGTGTATGGACAAGTCCAGAGTGTCTTTTTGATGGACTTGAATGTTTCTTTTGCTAATCAGGAACCAAGAAGAGAGTCAACTTAAGAGAACCATGGGTAAGAGCTGAGTTTCTTGGCCATATTTACTTTAGTTGAGTCAGTTTAAGGTGTGTGGGCTCCTGGTGTCCGATGGTACGGTTTTCATAAATCCGGCTAGATATATATATATATATATATATATATATATATATATATATATCTTACAGATACAACATAAAACATTTACATAACATACAAATTCAAAAGTATATTGCAAACAAGAAAGTTATACAGAATTATACACAAATGAAATACAAATGGCCTGTAACAGCTATTAAACCATTGAAAAACAAACTTTTTAGTGTGACCAGCAACCCTAGCACGCTTGTATACTTCACGTCCAGTATGATCTGAAGTTTCATTCTTGGTTAAATTTATAAACTGCAGCCAGGCCTAATCAAACTTGACTCAAAAAATACTTTCCTGTTTCCTTGTCTACAATATATAATATCAAGAGAAAGGATATAATGATAGAAATATGATACAGTAGTACAATCAAAAAATAAGGCACCTCCAGGAAATCGGGTTGGTCCCTACTATTCTTCAGTCATTTTCTTTTACTCCCTACAAGAGTTACACCTGTCCATTAATACGGACATTTAGTGCCAGTCCCAATAGTTTCCATCTGAGAGCTGACTGTAGTTTGTGCAACACCACACTTAAGCCTCTGACGACAAAAATACAATGTTACACAGCAGTCTTAATTTATTCTACTTGCAAACAAATTAAGACCTCTTCATGTTCTTCTTCCTATTAACGGTATTATGAACTCGTTTATTTTTCAGTGTGTGTTCTAGTAGTCTTTTCAGGCCGGGCACTCACTGTTGTCCTGCAAAAAAATCATTATGATAACAAATAAACATATTCTATGATTAAATTTTACAGTGGAATCTTTGTGGGGATTTGAAAGGAAATTTCTCCATGGGCTTCATTCTGTTTCTGTGCAATACAACCTTTAGATTTATACCGCAGTGAAGCAGAATTTGTTGTTGTTTATGTAAAGACTCGCACGAGATCATTCGAATGCAATTTTTTAGTAGAACTTTAAAAATAGTCAAAACCTTCTTGGATCGCGGTTCTGCAACTAAGAAAAATTATTTACCATCTTAGTGTACATTAAAAAAAGAAAAATCGCTAAATTGGGTTACTGAAATCTTTTATTTTACTAACAAGCTAAACGCCAACGTACAAAACAAAAACCTTGCTATCGCCATTATGAAGTCGTCACTTAAAGGTTCATAAAAGTTCACTCTAGAAATTTGCATGCACAAACAATATTTATATAACCATTACATATATTTTTGTGGCCGTTTATTATTATTTGGTTTTGACTGGCAAGATAAAACGCGACCTTCAACCTGTAATATCCGATAGGCCATTTTTACACTACATAAATATAAAAGGCGAAAAAACACCTTAACTTATAAGACTAAGTATAAAATATCACCTAAACATTTTCTGTATATTTTCTGTATACCGCATAGAAATACGCCAAATATCAAATTTAATTATAGATTGCAGCGATCTAAAGATATAAAGCAATGTAAATACGAACCTACCCCCAGCTAGACGACGCCATTTTTCTTGCCCTGACAGCGGATCGAGAGCGGAAAGGCCAACTAGTTCCAGTCCTACTCCGCATCACAGCTCAACCAGAGAGCGCGTATGAGCGTTTCAACGCCCTAGCTTCTTACGCCCTGGCATTTATCGATGAAACAAATAACGGACACACTGTTTACCTTCATATGGTGAAAATGAACGCCATCCTTTCTAGCGTATTGCCACCCTTACTTCCCACAAATCAACCCTCTAATGAGAGAATTAATCAGTTAGCCCTTAACGACAACTGTATGATTGAAATGTTGGTTTTCAGTGCTGAAGATTGTAAGTGAGCCTAGAATCTTCTATTTACACCCCTAAACGAGGCGTCGACGGAGGGAAACAGCTTCCCGAACAAGAAGAAATCAGCCTCAGCTCAGCTGATTCCGAAATCTGCTTATTTAGAGCTTACCAGTTTTCTTAGTTTTTCCTATTTTGCAACTTTACAATTTTGCCAAACATAGAATGTACGCTCTTGGCTGTAGCGTTGACGAAAACTGCTGAAAAACATAATATAAAGTAATATCTTCATCCCACAAAAACTAAAAATATAGTTTGTCCCGCGCAGGCAACAATTCAGTGATTGTTTCAAGCTTACTGAGGACATGCGATAACTATCGGTTGGCTAATAAATGTTGAACGTTACCTTCAGTCAGCGGAACAACGTCCGTCCGTAACGCTGAATGTGTACGTTTCAACAGCGTATCAAACTTTGCCTATTGTTGAGGATGCTTTTTTGGAAGACAATAGTGCTTTTGTTTCTTACATTCTATAGTGAAGAAGTTTGGTGAATAAACGAGAAGTCATATCATTTAGGTAACGATAGAACGACAAAGAAAAATATCTGAATCTTAGGCCCTGTCCACACGCATCCGGATTTTTTTGAAAACGGAGATCTTTTTCTCCGTTTTCAAGAAAAAAAAAATACCCATCCACACTTAGCGTATTCCAATCGTTTTCGGCCATCCACACGAAAACATTAAAACGATGGAAGGACGATAGCATCCCTTAAGGAGCATGCATAATGTTAATTCCACGCTTTTGGTAACAAAATAACTTCGTTTTCGTTTTGTTTGTTTATTTGTCTTTTTCATTAGAGTTACCACACACGACCACAAAAGTAACACCTGCAAGTAAGTATCCTATGAAGATTAAAGTATATAAAGTTGTACCGAAGCAAATTTCTGATTTTACCCAAATTTAGAGCTCGCTGAAAAACTTATTAATGATAATTTTGGTTTCTTCCAGCAGGGGCACCAAACACCACTGACCCCGAAATAACACGTACACGTAAGTCTCTCAGGGGGTTGAAAGAACTTGAATGAATGTATTGGAAAAAATGGGCATCTTTTCAACTATAGTTAAACGCTATGTAAAAACCGTCGATCCTCCCGTAAGCGACCATGGTGGTCTGTTCGTAAAAGAGGTCCGAACACATCTACTTTTGGAGGAGAATTTACCCTCTTTACTTTTTAGAAGAGAAGTTAGGTTTGACCGCGGCAGGATTTGCTCAGTCGGTAGAGCGCTTGACTGCAGAGCGGGAGGTCGCGGGTTTAATTCCCGTGGTCGGACCAATACTCGGGGTCTTAGAATAACTGAGAAATGAAGGCACTACCTTTGCCCTGCAAATGGCTAGACCTTCGCGTGGCTCGGATGACCACGTAAAATGGCGGTCCCGTCTCCAGTAGGAGACGTTAATATAGTGTCCCCAAATAGCACTTCCGTGCTAAATACATTGACACTTAAATAAAGTGCATTTTTTAAAGTACATATGTGTTGTGTAGTTTCATGTTATGGTTTCAAGCTTGCTAAGGAAATGCGATTACTATCGGTTGGCTAATAGATGTTGAAAAATGCGTTTAGTCAGGGGAACAATGTTCGTCCGCAACGCTTAATGCGTCAACGGTGTATCAAACTTTGCCCATTGTTGAGGTTCAATTTTTGGAAGACAATAG